GCCGGCTGGACGTGCAGGCAACCTCGCTGCTCCCCCACCATCACCAGAAGAAGAAGAGGTCAAAGCAACTGTAAGTCCCTGTACTTTCTTTGTGACCTCTGCACTGTGTTACATACTGACCGCTGATCTCTGCACTGCGCGTCACATTGCTGACCTCTGCACTGCGCGTCACATTGCTGACCTCTGCACTGCACCACTGACTTCTGTACTGTGCATTGTTACTGATCTTTATACTTTGCGTCACACCACTGACCTGGCGGAGTTAAGGCCGGGGCAGGGTAGGGGTTAGGTGGGGCAACTGGTGGCGACTTTTCAGGCCTGGCTAGTAGCTTAGGAGTTGAAATTTTTAGCCCTGACCTAAAAGACACCAGCAAAAAACTAAGGCTTGCTGGGAGTGGGAGGGTTAATATGGGGGCTATCCTAACAAATCTGTTTGCCAGTGTCAAATCACCTGAAGGTAGTTGCATATATCCCAGTAGCCCAAGACTAAGTATACTGTACTATTAAACATTAGTTATAATGTAAAAATATCAATTTGGGATTGAATTTTTTTTAAAACATATTTCATTAGTGATTCATTTATTCTAAAAATAATTACTTTTCAAAGTTATTATATACATCAGGCAGTATAAGTGGAAAGATACAATGGAAAATGTGCTGCAGACAACTCAAACAAGTTGCCTGGCACTTACATTATCAAAACACAGCTCATTACACAAAAATGGGTTATAAATATTTGAGCTGCCACTTTGTAAATTTGGTTTGGAACAGGGATCCATTGCACAACATGGGTGATTACCAGAGTATTCTACACTGACTAATATAATTCAGTGTAGAATACTTGCTTGAGAAGAGTATTGAAAGTCCTAAATATTTCTACTCTCGCCAGCCATTAAGATACGAGCAGAAATGCTAAAGATTTGTTTGTTTCCTATAATGTAACTAAACATCTGTCTACAGGAAGGGTGCAGAAAAAGTTAAATTGACTGCCAAATATGGTTTTATTACTGAAAAATTGCAGCAAAAATATTATTGGTGCAACTTTTGTTATCTCTACTCTATAACCTAGTCATATCTACTGGTATTAGGTTAAACAGGAAGTCTGAAATTGTCAGGATAATTTAATTTGTTAACAGACTGTGTTGCAGGCCACCACTTATTTTAGGAAAGAGTGAAGTGAAGTGAGTGAAATACCCAAAAGTCTTTAAATGTTCTGGAACTTCCTCTCATTAGATGAACTGCAATTTGGATGGGTGGTGAAATATTTAATCGGTAAAATCCAGATGTTTGTTTTACTACCACCAGAAACGCTTCATAGACATAATCCAGGCACTTTTAAAGAGTTGGCATGAGCTAGTTCATATATACTGTACACATCAAAATGGCAAATTTGTAATTTAACAAAATTGTCTGCCTCAGACAATACCATATTCATAAAGCTTACAGCAGTCTAGATTTACTCTGCCTTTGGGCCCAAAAACAGTAGTAAATTAGTTTCTGCCACTACATAAATGCTATTGCTCAGTCTTCTTACATTGGTCTAATAGTGCCTGCTAACAAGAAGGTAGAATGCTAAATTCTATATTTAAAATGTCACAAAGTACTCACATTTGACCTTCTGGGGCATAGGTAGAGCCAGTGATGCCGAATTCATGAAGACTGCAATTTGTTCCTTCAATCTTCTCAACTACAAACATCTTAAAAGAAGCAGAAGAATAGAATATTTAGGTCACATATTACACAATCCATGTACACTCGTCTTACAATTCAAAAATGTCCAAACAAGGTAATACAGCTTGTATTACGTTAAAACACTGGCACTGAACCACCACTGAACCAGTTTTCTGCTTTTTGTTCTACATGACTGCCTCTGGATCTCTAAAATGGACTTCTTGAACACTGCAACTGAAGAGTTGTTTAACCTTGGCATAATAACCCATCATCTCCTGAGCAACACAAGTTAAATTAAGCATCTTAACACCTTGCTGTTATAGTCTATTTATCCTAAAGGAAAATTTGTCACCCATTAAAAGGTGATAGTAATAATAAAAGAAATACTATAACAGCCATGAAACTTATCACTGCATCAAGTAGACCTGAAGGATTTCCAATTTAAAAATTGTACTGACTGCACTCATATCACAGTTCTCGTAGTAGCTCTTACTACAGCTGGTATTACTCCGCATCACTAATTATATCCTCTACCTGGTCAACGGGATCCAACTAAAATCTGTAAGAATAATTGATCTTTGTACTTGCTGCAGATACAGCACGAATCAAATAAGAGAGGATCAAATAAATAAAACATGTATGTCATTTCATTAGGTATCCCTAGACAAATACTGATCAAAGTCACTGGAGGGGAAACTGAGCTTCACAGATGCAGTCTCTGTTTCTTGTTTTCTAAGTTTCTTGTTAATGTTTTATTAGTCCTATTTAATTAAAGAAGAACTCTAAGCAATAGCATTACCTAAGGGAGTCAAAGTTGTGACCTACTGGAATAGCTACAAGCGTCTTCTATAAACATCTTGCATGAGAACAGTTCAACACCTCCACTCCATAAAACTGTTGTACATATCTGTCTGATGGCCAACAGCAAGACAACATGAGCAATAAAGTTCTCTTGCCTTGTTCACCTACTTATCTGCAACAAAGAAGCACCAGCACAATGGTAAGGTAATCCCAAGTACTCTCCCCTACTGGAAACATTCTCCTCATTGTAGACTGCCAGAACTGCGCAATGTCCTTTGTTCCTCCACTTTCAAGGAATATAGCAACTGTGGGATTATAATGATTATTAGAGCTGACCTGTGACAGCTTCTTTGTCACAGGTCGGCTCTATGAGGATGAGTGAAAAATCACTCACCTCATAGTTCTCCTGTAGGCATTAAAGAAAAAAAAAAAAAAAGTTATGCTGACTCGATCCTCAGACATCATCATCAAGTAAATTACGGATAAATCCAAGTTCCTATGTATGAAAAAGATGTCTAAAAAACGGCAGTAGATGCTAAATTTGGAGTATGTCAAATACCAATCTCACACTACAATTATCTGCAGAGTGAAATGATCAGAAGAACCTCCATGAAAATGCTGGGCAGCCAATATATTGCATAGCACTTCAAAATTTCAAAAAGTTCCAGTGCCTTAAGAAATTGAAAGACCAAACTCTTGTGGAGTTATTCCAATGCCAAATATCCTTAGGAGAACAAGTATGTATACCTTGGTATAATCTTGCAGTACTGAAGTTGCTGGAGGAAATTAGAGTGACGTTTAAAGGGCACTGGTCATGATATAAATAGGACGGTGGCGACTGCTGACTGGTTTCAGAAGGTGCATGAACTGGGTTTTTCATTCTTTCCCATGTTTTTAACAGTTCTAAAAACATGTTGTGTATGATAGGTTTCCTGTACGGATGCACCCATACCAGCAGCGGTGCAGATACTAGGCATTTTCACAAGTACTCGTACCAAAAACTGTTAAAAGGAGCTTTACATTTTCAAGTTGAAGCAGCCGCCTTAGATCCTGCACTCGCTGGGGACCTCGCGGCAGCCTTCTTGGCAGCCTTCTTCTGCGGCACCAGTCTACTGATTATATAGCAATGCAGAATACAATGTATTGCTGGGATTTGTAGTCCTCTATAGCCGGTGGTATTCTACATTGCCATATAAAAGGTATTGCCAAGATTTGTAGTCCCTCTACAACTTAGAGTCAGTGTCAGAAGTACCCAGGTCTCAGCGGTCACAGCTGCGACCGGGCCCTGGCGTGCCACCACTGTCCTAAAACCATTAGTCTGTATTGTTTTAGAAAAACTGTCACATGACACTAAAAATTGGTATTGGCGAATACTTGAGGAAAAGTATCGGTACTCGGTCTAGAAAAAATGGCATTGGTGCATCCCTATTTTCCTGACACTGGATATGCTCAGGCTTCTTTCAGGTAAGTGACTCATGAACAAGCAAAGAAAACATCAGGAGCTAAGCATATAAGTCTACATTTCTATCTTAACAGGCTTCTTTTAAAAATCACCACACAGGGAGTGTTTTGGGGATAATATGTTGTCAGTTTGATTCACAAATTAAAAACTCAGTTTTAAATTGAGGAAAAACAACTTTAAATACTGTATACTTGTTAACCACCAATACAAAATATCTGTCTTCAAAACCTACTCACTTTTTAATAAAGGCTTTTAAAAATGATTAAAATTTTAAAAAAGTAAACTCGTTCCCTGTACGCAACTGAAGTGGGGGGAAAAAGAATGCCATAAGTTATGACATTTAGCAACAGAGTTCTGAGCTTATCCTTTAACCCCTTCGTGACTGACGACGTACAGTGTAAGTCGCCAGCATCGGGGCTGTTTAAACAGACTCCCGGCGACTTTTGCCGCCGGGAAGTCCATCTCTGGGCAGAGGAAACATCTCACACTGTCACACATTCTGTAGTTTTGTTGTATTCTTTTAACACTTGACGTATTTCAATGTATTTCCTTTTTCACTTGTCCTCTGTATAAACTATGTGTCAGTAGCGGCCAAACCTGGTTTATGTTAAATACAATTTATAAACATGCTGTATAAAACTAGTAGTGATGAGTTGCACAACAGCACAATAACAGTGTGGGAAATATACTCAAGTTGAGACAGAAGTGGAAGTAGGAAGGTAAGGTGTATATGCTTAAGCCTCTCCCTTTCTTCAATCAGCCATACACAAGAACAATAGTTTTCATTATAATGTAATAAGCTTTACACAAACCAATGTGATAAAAACCAATCCCTACTTCATCCACCAAAGTATAGCTACAAACATGCTTTAACCAAGTAAATTACTAAACTTCTAAGGTGAGGTGAGGAATCATCTGTCTCATAAATTAGGTGAAAAGCAAAGCTTGGCCTATGATCACACAGTACTATATAAACACAGAATGAAGCGTTAGTGTAAATGAGGATTAATACAGGACCTAATTATTTTGTTGATAAAATATAGGTTTTAGGTTATATGTTAAGTTAGAGTGAATTTTTTTTGACCAAATATATATTATGCTGATTTTAGTTAATTGAAAAACAAAGTACAGACATGCCCTGGACTATTTATTAAAGGTTAAAATAAATGCGGACAATCTTTGCACTTATCAAATATTCAACTCTACCTGTGATGAGACCTTGTCTGAATGTTGCTTGCCCACACCATAGCCTGCTTTAGGGACTTTGACCCTAGGGCTTGTTCACGCCAAATGCGGTGCATTCTAGAGCGGTAGCTGCTGGAACGCACTGCAATCCCTCACAAAACTCCCCCCTGTGTTCTGGGGCAGGAGGAGGGCGTGGAGGTGCATTGAGTTCAATTGCACCGCTTCCACGCCCCCCTGCCCACAGTGCGATCAGACGCGTGGCAAAACTTTGCCTGCATTCCATTCCACTGCAAACGCAAAAAATAGAGCAAGCAGCATTTTTTGTGTTTGCAGTGGAATGGAATGCAGGCAAAGTTTTGCCACGCGTCTGATCGCACTGTGGGCAGGGGGGCGTGGAAGCGGTGCAATTGAACTCAATGCACCTCCACGCCCTCCTCCTGCCCCAGAACACAGGGGGGAGTTTTGTGAGGGATTGCGGTGCGTTGCAGCAACCGCTCCGGAACGCACCGCATTTGGTGTGAACAAGCCCTTACCTTTTGATTTGCTACTTCGTTTTAACTTGCCTCAGTGTGAGCAACCCACTGTAAGGCAAATCTGAGGACCTACGGCCTAGGAGTGTCCCTTGTAAGTCAAGACGTGCCCCCTGTAAGATAAATCTGAGGGTCACAACCTAGGAGTTGCCCTTCTGAAGAAGTCTTCTCACCTGGCATGAGTTTTTATTTTCACTGCAATTCAACAGATTTGTTTCACATTCTACACTGCACATTGCAATAGTTTGGACAACTGTAATGCCAAACTAGAGAACAAAATTGTGAAACAGTGATTTAGCAAAGACACTATACATTATTTCACATATATTAAAAGACAAATCTAAAGACAAAAATAGAGACTGGATTTTGCAATCTTTGTCCCGTTTCAGAGATTGTTAAGTGAGGGAACTTGTCTCTTCGTTGTCAACAGTACAAGAATCTGCATTGGAAGATTTCCCCACTATTTCTGTTCTGATGACCAGTCAACATTGTTTATTATACTCAGTCCTAGAAACAATGGTCACCACGATCAAGGGACACAGACAGTAAGAAAATCTGAAAGGGCTTCTAACCCTTTCCCACGCTAACCAAGTATTGCCTTTAGAAACAGTTTAATAAGCTTTTAAAGCTGAAACATCTGCGCAACGTGCATTAAGGATTATACTGTACATTACGGTCTTTAGATTGCATCCACTTTCCAATGATTAGTTTTACCTACATAGCTGAAGGTAATCCTTTTAATAGCAGTGTGGTTTTATGTGTATCTCAAGGGAACCATATGCTAAGCAAAATATGAAGGCTGTCATTATTGACCTCCTTTAAGAAATTCTAGCTGCCTGGCTTGGTAGCATGGGGCACCTGCAGGCAGAGCAATGTCATAACGATTATGCAGGGTCAGTAAGCTGCATTTTCAAATGAACCCTTTTGACTTTCTCCACATACATTTTTTCCCTAATGATTTTGTATTTATCAAAAACATTTTAAGTGACACTAAACTAGAGTTAAATCTTTAAAAAAAACATTATACATGTATCACTATTTCATAGGG